CTATAATACCAAACCTAAACCCACAGAAAGGAAGTAGGTGGAATGATATCATTCTCTTGGCCTGCTTTCTTTGATGATTTGCATTCTTTCCTAGTGTCATAGAAGAGGATCTGACTCCTTTCCGAGGAGGTATCTCAAGGAAGATGATGGCAGAGGTAGTCAGACGGAAGCTAGGAACTCACTATCAGATCATTAAGAATAGATTATACCGAGAAAATGACTGCATGTTTCCCTCAAGGTAAGAGTTATGATGTAAATATATCTTCTGACATTCTTACATATGAGCTTAGTTGATATTTTCTTATAAGGAAGCCAATAAAAGGGACCTACAGGCAAATCCCTCCTCACATTTCAGGGGACTACGAAATAATGACAAGCTCTTCTCACCTGTGAATTTTTCTTGCCTTCTCCTGTCCTCCTTTCTCCTGTATCAAAGCCTGTCTCCTCTCTCTTCCTGAGGCGTGGGCATATCAATGGTTATACTGGCTGTGACTCTGCCCCTTCTCTTCCTTCTTGGGATGTGGTAGCTGCAGGACACAGGCTGATGAGACCTAGTAGGAGTGAGCTGGACTGAAAGAGGAGGAGCTTTGACTGTCTGTCAAAGGCTAAGTATTGTTCTAGATACTGAATATTTAAAGAAAAGTGGTGGAAAGTCAAGAGTAACTGGGGCTGCAGATTATGCAGGCTACACTAGCCACAACTTCAGGTGTGAGTTGAGGTAACAAATCAGTAGGCTGAGGGCTGGGAGTAAGTGGAGAGCATCACAGACTGAGCCTGGAAGATGGGTTTAGGCAGCATAATACATGAGAAATGATAAACTTCCTTTTAGAAGTCTTTTTTAAAAAAGTTAAATCTTTATAAAATTATAAAGTACAAAACTCAGAGGGCATGGCATTCCTTTACCTAGCATCTTCTTTCTAAATAATCTCTATGCTATCATTAAAAGCAAAGTAAATGAGCAGTATTGTAAAAAAACCATGCATCCATTTGGACATAAGGATCTATATATTTGTTCTTAATAACAGCTTTATTACAAATGAACACATTTTCATTGTCAAAAATATGTAAAACAGCAACAAAAAGGAAAGTAAAGATCACTTAATATCTCACTACATTGAAGCAGTCACAATTGCCTTTTGGTTACCAAGTGTCAAGGGAAATTAAGGTGGTGGGAGAAAATCATTGAGGTATTTTAAACAGGCATTTGTTTCATTACTTGGGACAGTAATATTTAAGTGCAAATCATGGACATAGAGGAATTTCTAATTTCCACAAATAAGAAAGAACATATGAATATAGACATTGTTGGACTTTGAAAGTTTATCCAGTGTTTAACAGCTGAACAATTTCGAGGTGAAATTAAATACTTTCAAAGTTTCCAAAAGGCATATACCTCTTATTCCAGACTTCAGAGTGTTTTCAGGATCAGGAGCTCTTAGAAATGTTCTGAAGGGAACACAGGACACTTCATTGACAATAAAATCGTCTGTTTTTCTAATGCATTGAAAGTTCCTTATCCTAGCTACACACACAACTAAGGAAAACATAGTTGGACAGAATAGAAATAGAATGAAATATTTAGACCAGTTTTCTTAATGAAATGCACACAGTTGTGTGATATCTCAGATTCTCATCTAGCCAACTATATCTTTCTAGGTCTAGAAACTTCTAATTCAGTTTCAGAAACCTATATGACATTTAAAAAATTCCGTTCTGAACAAAATAAAACATAAACTCAGCATTTCAAGGGTAAGCTGAGATTTTGCAGAGGAACCAGAGCACCATCTAATTGACACTGAAGACACATCATTTCAGAGATGAAGAATAATGGCATTTAAAAAAATAATACCTTTAGTGAGGTATGGCTGACATAAACTACACACATTTAAAGTGTACATTTGATGTTTTGATGTAAATATACAACAAAATAATGAATGTATCTGTCCCTCCCAAAAGTGTCCTCATCCTTCTTTGCAGTCCCTCTCTCTCACCCCTCCCTGCCATGCCTTCCTTTCCCCGCCTCCTTCCTCAGGCATCCATTTATCTGCTTTCTCTCATTTTAGACTATTTCCAAGGGTTTTATATAAATGGAATCATATAGTATGTGAGAGAATTCTGTTTTAAAAGCCAAATGTGAAAGAAAATACATGTTTTAGCTGTTACATATAAATGTACTATAATAATGTATTTTTAAAACTTTTGAAGTAGTTTTATTTCTTTTCTTTTTTTTAGTATCAAAATTGTGTTACATGCACATGGTAAAATATTTGGACAACTCAAAATGATGTACAATGAAAAGAAAGTTTCTCTATCAACTTAACTCCCAGACTGCTAATTCCTGAGTCCTCCTTTCAAGAGACCCCCACACTTACAAGATTCTTGTATATTCTGCCAGAAATAATGTATGCATATACAATTATCTAGACTCATCAACAAATTAGAACATGCTATATCTTCCGTTCTACAACTCACTTTTCCATGTAACAGTAGATTTTGAAATTGTTTCATAAGACTACATAGAGAACTCCTTTTTCATAGCTGCATAATAATCCATTGTGTGGGTTTCTTATTCCTCTATCACTCCCCTTTGATTTTTGACTAACACAAACAATGCTGCAGTGAATATCCTTATATGCACACCTTTGAGCACTCATAAATATATCTGCAGGTTAATTAAGTAGAATTAATCAATTAATACATTTTTAAAATCTTCATAAATAGAAGAAAATTATCTTTCAAAGAGGTTTTGCCTATTTACACTTTCACCACCTTTGTATCATGTGCTCCAAATAGACCTCACACCTTCACCAACACTCTGTTATGACTCTTTGATCTTTGCCCATCTGATTGGTGAAAACTGGCATCTAGCTTCACTAGAATTCTTTTCTTCCTTTTTTTTTTTTTTTTTTTTTTTTGTCATGGTGATATTTTATTTACTTATTTTTTTAATTGAAATATGTTTGACATAATTGTGTAAATTTAAGGTATACATGTTAATTTGCTACATTGTAGGATAATAGCATCTCTACCATATTATGTAATTATCCTTTTTTTTTAGTAGTTGGAATAATTAAGTTCTAGTCTAGCAAGTTGGATGATTGTAATGTAATGTTGTCTATATTCACTGCACAGCAGGTCTGTGACTATGTCATTTTGTTCAACTTTGTTTCATTGGAATGTTGATGGAAAAGCTTAACTCCTGTTTATATCAATTAGCCCTTGGTAAAACTGGTTTAGTTACATATCATTTTGCGTAAAGTTGCATAACTTGTCAATGTTAAGTGAGGACTTACTGTACTGTGTATTAAATCTCTAGGTATATTTACTAGTCGTTGTAGGTTTGTACCCTTAAACAACATCTGTCCTATCCCCCACCCCAGATCCCCTGGTAACTACCATTTTATTCTGTTTTTACAGTTTTGGCTTTTGGCATTTCTTTATTATTAATACAGTTGAGTATCTTTTCTTGTGTTTATAGACCATTGATATTTTTTACAGTTATCTCCCTATAAATAAATCAATGTTTTAAATCATTCATTTCCGTGCTGTCAGAAAATTTTGGTCATACTGCCCCCAGTATAGTGCTGGTCAGGACCTCAGAGGATGGGTCAGAAAAGCTAAGCTGTCAGTGTATCCTCTTTCTCTTTCCAGAAATCCTCTGAGGATTCCCAGGGAGTCTAGTCAGAATGCAAATTACAATTTTTGTGATTGTGTGCATAACAACTGTGAACTTAATTATGGTGGAAAGAAAATAATGTCTCGCGAGAAGCAAGCCGAAGGGACACAATTAGAAAATTAGCCTTTCCAGTTCCTATCAGAATTTATGTCTTGCTTACCAA